CCCAGCAGTTCGGTTGTCTGGACCGCTGCTTCCGCCAGCGAAACCTCTGGAGGAGATCGCTAACGAACTGGTTGAGTCAGCTGATTTCGCGGAGCGAGTCAGCAAAGGTTGGCACTCTCCTGCGGGAGAACGCTGGCTTGAGGCCAGTGTCTTCTTGCATGATTAATTCCGTAGCTGTAGGCTCGAGTTGTAGAATGTGTATAGTACGCTGCGTCCGACGCATGGACTCTATAGCACCGAAAGCCGAAAGCCGAAGCCCCACACCTAAACCGCAATTTTGAGACAGAGCCTTAGCAAGTCTGGTGGTTAGTCTGCTTTCCTGTTGCCACACTCCATGGTCAGAGTTGCTGAAGACCATAGTTTGAGTCGGCTTGGGTTCTGGGTTCTGGGTTTATTTCTCCGCATTTTTCCTGTTGCCGTTGATCGTGCCGTGTCTTAGGTTGAATCGTCCTGTGGGTCGCTCTCCGAATTAGGGTCCTTCTTTGGGGGTTCTTATTATAAGTTATAAAGGGTGCTGTTTTGGTAGGGACCCAAAAAGGGTCCTTAATTTAGAGAACTACCCATGTGTAGACTGCAGGAGATCCATGCTGAAAGCAGGGATTCAAGGCAATAGAAAGCATGCGCCAACATATTTTCAACCTTTCCAGTTTCACTCACTTTATGAAGGGTTTCACCACTCCACGTTTCAGAACAGAAGCCGGAAAGATCGGAGGCTCCAGAGTCTAGCCTTGTTGGTTTGTTTGTGTTACGCCGTCTTCTCAGCACTGGGAATCTTGCCTTATGCTTCCCAACCACGTCGACGTATGTTGATAGTGGGTGGGTACGTCATGTATTCGGAAGCCTAAGCCCACCTAAGCCCCAAGCAAGCCCAATCTTTGAAGCCTTAAACACGCCCCAAGTCCGGAAAATGCTACAGAACCCGAGACTTTCACCCGGAAACAATCCCAAGGTCCCATAAGTCTACACAACCCAAGGGCCCCTCAGAGCGAAAGCGACGCAAGCGGAAATCCCTCCCCCCCCCAAAAGCGCAAACTTAGAGACGAAAGCGCCCAAAGTATTTTTAGAAAAACGCACCTTCCCACAGCAAGCCCTGCTAAGGCTAACACTCATAATAATAACCAGACTCATCATCATAATACTTATAACAATAATACTAATAATAATCATAATAATCACAGAGGCCAAGAGACTTCAAGAATATTAAGGCCATGTCACACGATGAGCATGGAGAGAAAGAGAGACAGAGAGGGAGAGAGAGAGAGAGGGACAACAACGGCGAACCCAAAAAAGATGCAAATGATGTTTTCTGCCACGTGCACGAAATTCTCGCGAATGATGGCGAAATAGCATCGCACTGTAAAGTGGAAGCCTATCTTGCCACCAGACCTGCTGATGTTCCAAGTTCCCATATGCCTTGGATTCCACCACTATGTTAAGGTTCGGCCTCTATGGGGCTTAATGGGATTTAGGGTCCCAAAGGCAAGGACCACCTCCCACTCAACAGATGTCAGAGAGGAAGTCACATAGGGAGAACCTCACATTCCGCAGTCTTAGGCCTCCATCTTCACTTGAAGGCGTGGGATTGGGTGACATCGGGTCAGGACTTGAAGATAAAGAATGCTGCAAGCAAGGTTGCGTCCTTCGACCTGTCTCTGTAACGATGTCTCCATGGTGACACAGGAAATTCTCGGAGCTGGCACTTTGCATCATGCTGATGATATCCAAGGGTGGAAGGAGGCAGACCTTCAGGGCTGTCTATGTAAGGGTTAAGCAATTTAATATTCAGAGCTTAAGGCTTTGATATGTGAACATCATGGCGCAAAGTACGGACCAAATGAGCCTAGCAAATGAGCCTAGCAAACCAGGCTCTTCGGTCCCAACGTACGCAAGCCGCTCTTCTCAAGCAAAAAGGCCACACTCACGAAACTGAGCTGGCGCCCCATCTTTACAGATCTGTACAATGCTTAAAAGTGATGACTGCCTAAGGAGTGGCATCAAGACGTGGGTGGGTTCCTAAACGACCTTCTGCCCACACAAACGTTCCGATGCATCAAACATTATACTTGTGGGTATCATTTATGGCCAAAAGCCTGTAACTGGTACAGCTTGCTACCGTTCACCTCAGAATCTTGCCACTCGCGGCATTAGCTCCGAAGCGCGGGGATGTAGACGGTACACCTAGATAACTTGATATATCTATATATAGATACACATATACTATACATATATATATATATATACACATATACTCTATATATATATATGTACATAGGTATATATATATATATTTTTTTTTTTAAATCCTTTCAGGGTAGGGGTGGGGGGTGGGGGGTAGGGGGTAGGGGGGAGGATGTAGACAGTAGGAGGGGCGGGGGTGGCGAGGACCACATATTTCAAAGGAGGTGCTTGCTCCAGAGATTAGATGTGGATGCTGGAAAGAGGGTACGAGAGAGATCCTACCAGGTGGGGGTTGATATGGCTCTGTGACAGCACAGTGGTAGAAGGGGAGAAGCGAATCGAATGAAAGGTCGGAATCGGACGGGAGGGGGGGGGGGGAAAGGGAGGGGAGAAGAAAGGGCAGAGGTTTGGGCATGCACTAGAGCCCTTAAAATTTAAAACACTTCACTTCAAGCGAGGAGAGCACTGCGCCTTTGGGATTCCTTCCTCGTCCATAGCATCCATAGAAATCAACCAAACCTCTAATAAGTAACTTATTGACCTTCGCGAACGAGTTTGCTGAGTCCCGAGGCTCAAGTTGCACATCTTTACACTCTGGCACGTCGCAGGCAAACTCACCAGCACATTGGAACACCTCCGTTGGACGATGACACCGCGCGTATACCCATTGAGATGCAAGTACATAATCACCTAATCTAGCAGAGTCAGTGACATTAACCGCGTCGAAACCGAGCACCTCCATCCCCTGTTGCTGAGCGCCAACACCTCCAGGGCCACGGCGTGGCCTCAAGCACCGGCTCCATCTTCTCTCCTGGCTTTGGATACATACATTCGGACTAATTATACTAATTCGAAAACAAGCAGCATACCAACACTTGGTATATGGGGCCTTAAACCGCTTGGCCCTCTAGGCACCTCAGCCCCACCCAGACAAAGAAGGACCACCACTTTTAGCCGAAGACTCAAGGTGCCCCGGCGTCGCTAAATATACGAAAGATGTTTTATAAGGTACGCGCTCTAGTCAAAATCTTATGGGGCGGAACGGCGGAAAGGGGGGGGGGGGGGGGGGGGGGCATTTCAAACCTTAAGGCGCCGCATGTAAGTAACAGCCCCATAAAGCTACGACGACGCTCGGTGCGATCTACCAGAGCATGCGCCGCAGAGGTCGTCGATGCACCAAAGCCCTCAAAGGCATCTTGCAGATGTCCCCAAAAGATTCCCAAGCCTCATCCAAGGTACCGCAGGGTTTCAATCAGCATGTCTCGCACAATCTCGCACACGTCACCGACCTCTTGGCCAGGAACAACTGACCCGTCGCCATTCGCCGTTTCCGCGAACCCGACTTCCGAAGATTCAGCCACCAAGCTGCACGGTCTCGGCGCTGACAGTTAAACTTTTCAGGGTTGCGGAACACAGCACGGCGGAGAGCATCGCTTCCTTGTGGACTTGCACCACTAGCCTGAAGACTGTTGACCCTGGTTTGTTTGGGCGGCACGCTTCCACCAAGGATGCGTCCACAGACCCGAGAGTGTGCTCGGCGTTGTCACTTCGTGAAGGATCTCGCCCACGTGCCTCAGCCTCGAGACTGTCATCACTGTTTAAGCAATCATGCCCTTCGTGAACCGGAGTGAAGGATTTCGCCCACATGCCTCATCCTCGAAACTGTCGTCACTTTTTTAGCAATCATGCTTCAAAACAAACCTCCAAAATGCCTCCAAAATACCGCAAATATGGGTTTCCCCGAGGGTGTGCTCAGGCGTTGTCAACCCGTGAACCAGCGTGAACGGGAGTAAACGCTTTCAAATGCTTTGCGAGCACAGGACGCACGCCGACCAAAACCTCCCCAACCCCACACCCCAACTCTTAAAACGGGAACTCTTCTGCCGTTGGACCATTAGGCCATAAGACCACATCAATGGGTGCAAACTTAATGGTCTACTGGTCTAGTGATCCGGTGGGGGTTGTATGGGCCAAACCGAGCATATGGGTCCAATGCTCCAAAGGTCTAATGGTCGGGTAAGGAAGAAGACCAAAAGGTAGAGAATGTTAGTACTAATGGTGTGGGCAAAAAGACCCGGGTTTCTTGGTGCGTTGGTTTCGCTTCGCTGGTCCCTTTAATATTATATTGCGGGTTCTATTTCATTGTAAGTTTACGCACGAATGAAATGAACGAAACGAGGGCGTGAAACAAGAGATTATTATTAACACGCCCGAATGAGCGAATCACTCACTTGTTTCCTGTGTTCCCGCGTGCGTGATTATAATACGAAGAGACCACATGAATTATAATATTGTAAGTTCACGCACGCATCTTATAATTAAGGTGTGAGCGGCCCCAACTTCGAGGTCTGGTTCGCAGTTACAACCAACACACAAGACAGTGAATTATTGCATGGGCCAAACCTATTGGTTTAATGGTCTAATTGTCTAATGGTCTTAACCAGTTTCGAAAACGGTTTCGAAACAGTTTCAAGCCCAGGTGCTGAAAATGCAAGGCGGCAGGGCGGGGATAGGCATGTACTCATACATATTATATATATATATATATATGTATGTGTACCTCTCTCTCTCTCTCTCGGGGGGGGGGGGGGGGGCGGAATTGTAAAAGGATGGCTTACAGGACACTCTTTCATGTTCAATCAGCTTGCCTCATCTCAAGTCCGACCAGCTTTGCCGGAGGCGGCGGGGCGGGCCATGTGGTAGATGTGGGTACGATGTTGTCCAGGCCAGGTCCGCCAGGTGTCCTGAGCGGAGGGGTGCAGAACCTCGAAGTGCAATTGCAAGTGCAAGCAGAACTGCCCGTCCTGGGAGCTCGTCCCTGCTTATATTGTCCGAACCTCGACATCGACAGTGTGGGTGTCGGATGCCTGCAGCGACAGTACCCACAAGCTCTCAAATAAAACAAAACGCTGAGGGAAAGATGTCAATGTCCCAGAACTGCGCAAGATGCGCCTCCTCCGTCCGAGAGGCCTCAGGCATATCATCCGAATCTGGCTCCTCATCCTCCTCCTCCTCCTCCGTCTTACCTAAAACCTTCTCGACAGTTTTTAGCAATTCCTTTCCGTCTTTTGATGGGAGCAACGCGAACATTTGCACTGCCAATGTGAAGTCATCGGGACAGAGCGTGCGCTCGGTGTCGCTGAGGTTCTTCTTAAGTTCCTGCTTCCACCATTTGCAGAGCTCCGAGTTGCCGACTCTCGGCACCGCGTGGCTTGATGCGGCAAGAGCACACAATATGTCCAAGTTCGGAATCTTGTTCCAATTGACCTGGCACAGGCAAAGCTTGTTGAATTCCTCGAAGGCATTGACGATCGTATCTTTTTGCGTGGAGTGATCAAGTCGCAATATCATTCTCCGAAGCCAACCTTGGCGAAGTTCTGCAAGACTGCAAGCTAGGGAAGACAGCGATAACCCTATATAGAGAATTCCAGCGAACAACTGCCGCGAACGGCTCATGCGAGAGTCGGATGCACTGTTAAACAGGACCTACAGCCGAAACGATTTGCAGCCTGAGAGCTTCCAAGCTTCTTGCTGCTGGTATCGGGAAGCTCGATCATGACCTTGTCAAAGGACCACTGGATTTTGATAAGCTCTCGGTCATCTGCTTGGAAGATGGGCTTCAGCAGCTCCACGGCCCTGTGCTTCAGCTTCACGGCCCGGCGCTTCAGCTTCCCATTTAAGCGCTTCAGCTGGCACGAGCAGCATGAAGTCCAGCACCGAGCCCGAAGGCTGGAATCTGTGGACGTCGGGTCCTGGCACCCAAGACGGAGCCTCTCTGGGCCATGTGCTTATGGCGGGGAGGTTTGAGCTGGGCACCGCACCGAGCTTTTGAACTTATCGAAACCATATCTATGCTACAATGCCAGCAGCAAACCACAAGCCTATCCGGTTCATCACGGATAAACATCTTCCGGGCCCGTTCTTCGGCTCCTGGCTCTCCTCCTCGCTCTCCGGCTCCTCTTTGAGCTGGTTGGCCATATGGCGCACGAACTGCACCACGATGTGCAGACCGGAATAGACCGCCACGACCACCACCAAAATGGACAGGAAGAGAGCCCAAATCCACACCATATCCGATGAAGGGAAGAAGATTATTAGCGCTGAAACGGTGCTGAACAGCACGAAACGCACGGTCAGCAAAGCAAACTCCAGCGTGTCGAGGATCTGAGCCTGAGCATTGGCGTAGGGCTTGACCCACGTGGTGATGCCAAGCTGGATGCCTGGACCAGGCAGAAGCAGATTTTCCTACAGTACGAGGTGCCCGGCTCGGGCTGTTGAGATCAGATCTGTTGAGAACACCCCACCTGAGATGAGAGGGAACAACAGCAACTTAGCCTTCTCATCATCCGCGATGGAGGTGTAAGCCACCAGCAACATGAAGCCGGTATCAGCTCTCTTCACGGTCAGATCCCAATACCAGCAACGCGGCTCCAGCCCTTGAATGAAATAACCATATTTCCGATAGCTGTCGGGAGCCTGTCACAAGCCCCTACAAGTACTTAAAAGGACCCTGAGCATGGGCAACAACATGAATGCACAGGAAACCTGTTTGTCTGGCTGCTTCCAAATCCAAAGATACAGAAGCAATGGCAGGCCCACACACCAGATAGCCAGGCCCAAGAAGGAGATCACGAACAAGTTGGTGTGCTCTGAACTCCAGCACACCACCTGAAAGCTTGACATGGGGATGGTCTGCCAACAACTCCATTTCCTTCACACTCGTCCTTTATTATCTTTGGCTTGGTGGAAAGGGAGGGAGTGAATGAATGTAGTGAAGTATAAGCGATTTTTGCGCATGAATTCACGAAATGATTGAACGAACGATGAATTTTACCGCCTAAAAGCCCACTAAAAAGAAGTATAATATTGGGCTTCTAGGACGTACCATTAATCTCTCTAACTCTTGTTCCACAGCCTTGTTCACCGTGAGATCACCAAAAGCCTCATGAAAATAAGCTTACAAAGGACCCCCTTAAAATATACTTAATTTGTGGGGTCTTTGTGCTTTTTCTATTTGTCTTTTGTTTCTTTCACTCCTTTTTCTCTTTCATCTTCTTATTCACGTCTTTATTACTAAACGCGAGCGCGCACTTCATGTGTCTCGCGATTTAAATATAAAACTAGTGAATGAAGATAAGAAAGAGAGGGAAAGCAGAGTGAAGGAATGATTGAATGAACAAACACAATATTCATATTGAACGGTCGTGCTTTCATTACACCGTTCATATAATATTGTGTGTCTAATTCACTCAATCATTCACGTGTCTTCTCCTTTCTCTCTGTCACCTCCAGAACCCCCAGATGCTAGATCTAGTTCTAATGTTCACCCATCCCAGGCAGTCATTTCCTCTGTCTCTAGGAATTAATCTGTTGAGTCGTGAAAACTGGACCGTTGATCTGGGGCTGAGTCTTAATGTCTTGAGTTACTGACCGGCTTAGAGACCAGTCCAACCGCAGCACCCATCACACCTTGAGACCCTGTTCAAAGATCCTGACCAATTAACCGTGAACAAATAACCAAAATCCCATATCTTATTGGCATCCTTGTTCACCTGTCACCCATTCAAGCTTCTAACTCACTGGCTGTCTCATTCACGCGGGTCACTTCCTGGACGGTACAATTATAATAGGAAAGTGTGTGAACAGAGTGAACACGTTCATTTCGTTCACATTGTTTTCCTCGTTCTCTCATTCACATATTCTCCTAATATTTTATAACGAATAAGAGTGAAAGAACCGCACGCAGTATAATAATAATGCGAATGGCCAGCTACATAATAATATTATACGGGCCGTTTATAATATATTTCATGCGGGCTTTCTTCACTGATGAGCGGGACGGAAGAAAAAATAACGGTATTTTGCAAGGGTTTTTACGTGCAACCTCTTATAATGTAGCACACCCTTGTATTCACTTCGTTTATGCTGTATTTTATAGCGGTTTTTCTGTGTCCAAAAAGTTAAGATAGAAAAATATCCCAGAATAGAATTATTATTAAGCGACTTCATGGTTGGAGTGGAGTGGAGTGGAGTGGAGAGTGGAGAGTGGAGTGGAGTGGAGAATCGGCCGAGGCACATGCGCCTGGCCTAACAAAAAGGCGACACCTCCGGCCGAAACTTAAGGTGCCAGCCCGCAGGAACAACATACGAAGCAACAAACACACCAGGCAGCAACCACGACGACGATCACGATACCCCTCCTCTCCCTCCTCTCCCTCCCCTCCCTCCCCTCCCCCCCAAAAATAAATGGTGGGCTCCGGGAGTCACCCTGACTGCAAACGCGTGGCCGGCGAAAGCACAGGAAGTGCCCGACACGCAGCGCCCATAATTTGTGCCCCGGCGACCGCCCGCGATCTGAGTCTCACCAAGAGCTACCGGGGAGCAACCCTTTTAAGCTGCCGTGCCCCGGACAGGCCTCTAGACGCGGCCAGTCTCTGCCTGACCAGCCAATCTTGATGAAAGGACGAATGAGCACAACGAACCAAAAGGACTGGAAAGTTATTCCTGATCCAATAGATGACAGGCATAACGCTAAATCTTGAGAAATGCATTGGGGAAAAGGTAAGAAGAATACCAATACATATTAAATGTAGATGAAAAGAGAAAGTATACTAGAGGATGAAAGTAATACATTCTTGGTACCAACAATCTTTTCTCCATTAAAAATTTTTCCAGAGAAAGGCACCTCTGCCCATGAGAGCCCTCCTGCTAGCCGGCCCCCCTCTCAGGACGCTTTGGGGACTGACTTGGGGTCTCGCAGGGCAGTACGCCTCTGCGGCCAAGCAGCATCGGGGTGAGGCAGAAGCCGTTGAACAGGCTGCGTTTTCCCATCCCTGTCTTCCATCACGGGCGAACAGCGAATCATGTGAAGGAATCTCTCCAGCAGCTCGGGCCACAAAGCCATTTGAGTCAACCACACCACCGGAACGGCTTCCCCAACATGTTTTCGCAAAGAGGGAGTTGAAGTGAAAAGTCCAAAAACCATGGCCTCAGCCTCCGTGGCCCCATCCAAGGCCTAGGAGCCGCAACGGAAAGGACGGACCGGGGCAGACGGCATCCATTCTCGGACAAGGGAAAGAATGGGCAGAGACAAGATGAGTCAAGACAGGTGGCAGCTTGCAGGTCCTCCTGCACCTCGACGACTGGCGTTCCGAGGGCCCCATGCTCCTTCGGTCGGTGCGGACTTGCATTTCTTCATATCTCTTTGTTTCCCGGGAAAGTTGGGACGTATCATGATTCACTGTGAATGGTCAACAAAAGATCGGCCACTACGACACAATGACGCCCCTTCTAAGTCTAATGAACAATATATAGCAAGATCAATGGAAGACTTCGTGATGGCCTCGGATGCGGCGGGGCTCTTGCGCTTGCTGGCCTTCTTGAATTGAAAGCCCATCCGCCCGGCAAGGGGCACGACAACATAGACCACCATGCTGCAAAGCAGAAATGTGGCGAAGAGTGCGAACACTGGGAGGCAAAGGGAGTACACGGCCGACACAAGTGTTGCTCCGTCCCTGACCCCAAGCTTTTGACCGTAGCACTGCGCCGCAAAGTCCACTCTCAACCTGTCAGGGGCAGAACTCTCTCTTGAGCAGTTCTTTGCAACACCACCCGTGAAGATTCTCGTGAACTTCCCTTGTGCTACATTCACCTATACACCGGTTAAGCCGAATTAGCGGTTCATCACTGCAATGATAAAGTTTTTCGGGCCCCACCTGGGCAGAAGCGAGAGCACCTGAAAGACAGAATCCATGGCCGCGGTGGCCACTTGGGGCCAGGCCAGCTTGGAATCCGGCTTTTGGCACTCCTCACACTCCCCGTTGGAGCTGGACCACGGGAAGGGCGTCAAGCGAGTGAGGTTGAAGCTCCTTAGTGCTAAGCTCACTGGCGCTGGCCGAAAACAAAGCATAACAAAACTCACAGCTAGACTCAGCTAGACTGGAGCCAAAGCAAGACGAAGCTCAGCAGGACAGAGCAGGCATCCATCCAGCGCTGGACGATACGAATTATGGCTGGGTGGAGCGGGCGCATTTTTGTGGCACCCGGAGCACTAATGACCGCCATGCCAAAGTTCAGGGCCGCGATGCGAGCAATGTCCATAAGAGCAGCCAGGGCAAAACTGCCAGCACCCCCAGCGTTGCAGGGCTCGCAGACATCGAGGTACCCGCCCCGGGCCCACTCTGCAGGGCATTCGCCACAGAGCCATCCTTGAGCGCCCGCAGCGCAGATATTTTCGGTGATATTCCCGCCGAGACACACACTGACACCCTCAGCGTCCATGACAAGGCACTGCACCGCCACGGTCTGCCCGGTCTGAAACCAGCCTTTGCGGGCTCGGGGCTGCAAGTGGTGACCACTGACGTTCACGCCACCCGGGCAGATCAGCCCGTCATAGTCGCAACGCGCGCAGCTGTCCAGCTGCCCTGCTTGTAGGTAGGCGTGGTATCCTTCGTTGCAAAAACACTGACTCCGGTCAGTGGATGCTGGAGTGCTGTTTGCATTGGGCGGGCAGGTCAAAAAACAATTTGCGTTGCGCACACCATCCTTGTACCGGCCCGCCTCACACGGGTGACAGGGCCCGGAAGGGCCGTGTTCTGAGGGCTGGTGCCCCGGCCGGCATTCGCAGTCAGCAATGGAAGAGCTGCGAACAGATCCTGTTGTGGAATTACTTGGACACTCCTGCTTCTGTCCCGAGCCATCGCAGTAAGAGCCTGCTGGGCAGTCCAAGCACTCCTCGCCATGCTGACCTCGACTACCATACGTTCCAGCTGGACATGTGCACTCCTCCTCTTGCGTGGCACCCTCTATCAAAGTTAACTTCAGGCCTGTGCACCGAGTACAAACAACATTCTCCCGCCTGGGCTTGTACCTCCCGACAGAACAGACCTTGCAGGCACCATCTTCGAACCCATAGCCTTTCCTGCATTCGCAGTCCTCCGGCTGCATCACGACGACGCCGGTTGGGATGGCTGCATGCAGCGGGCAATGGACAGTATCCCATGTCGTGGTTGCAATAATTTCTTCATCAGACATCGACGCCGCAAAGCGACGTAGATTGTCGTTCTGCTGCAGAGTGCTGTTGACTTCACCAGGCAAGGAACTCCAGTCCAGTGAGTCCTGCAAACTCTCCGCATCGTCCTGCGTTGGCAACTTCATGATAATGACTGCCTTGAGCAACTCAGCCAAGCGCCGGCCCGGGAAGGCATGTGGAAAGTCTATGCGAACTGCAGCGGCATCCAGCCGAACCAATTGGGAGATGCTGCGCTGCAATGCATCACGCAGCTGCTCCTTTGCGCTTTCTTCGATTTTACCTGGCGGAGCTGGACACATAGGGGAAAGAATCTAGAATCAGCCAAGGGGGCTGCGAACTACTCAATGTCACCTAGAAGCCTTCAAAGAATGGAAGGTTGACACAGCGTTTCCACTCACTCGAAGTCACTCAGAGGCAGTTCGAAAGAGAGGCTGAAGGCCAGAGCTGGAATCGTGGATGTGTTGGCCTCTGGATCCTCATCAGCTTCCGCATCAACGGAAGTCTCCAGATAGCATGACAAGTTGGATGCGGCTCCAGACTTGAATGTCGTCAGGTCTGGAGGGCATGGCGTGCAGTCTAAGTCATCTCCCGGCCTGGGCTTGTAGGATCCTTTCTTGCAGGGTTTGCAATCGACATCCTGAAAGTAGCCTGGGGCACAAATGCAATCCGTGTCCGAGGATCCCTTCAAATCCCAGGTCGTTTGGCCGACTGCGCAGGGGAACCGATCGGCTGTTGTGGCAGTACCTCCGGGGCAGTAGAAGCCACGGCCACAAGGCCTGCATCTCGAAGCCCGTAAATAAAAACCCCTGGGGCAGTTCACCTGCAAGGACCCAGCCGGTGCACGGAAGGCTGAGAGGCTGCAGCTCGAGCTGGGGCACCAACATAATGCATACTTTCCAGGTGCTGCCTGCGAAGGGATCTCGCCCAATGCGATGTGCAAGAAGCCGGACGCCACGTGAATGCCCAGGGGCTGCTGCAGAAACGTGAGGTTCTGGAGGCCGCTGCTCTGGACGCCAACGCAGTTGCCGTTGGTGAGGACTAAGGAACTGTTGGCGTTCAAACCGATGCCGGTTAGGTTGATGGCACAATGGCTGCCCACTGTGCACTGGGCTGCCTGTTCGAAGGGACCGCGGACGGTCATAAAACCTACAGCGGCCTTGAAATCTGCTGGCGCCAGGCAGCTTTCGGGAATGCGGGGCCGGCAGAAGCAAAGCCGGACGATCCCGGCTGATGACTGGATCACCGAAGTGCTTTCAAGAAACTGGAAATCACCATCCTGAGCAAGGCGCAGAGAGCTGCATATGCTCAATCACATGTCCCCTCTTCAACTGGAATGAGCCCAAATTCGAAAACACCTTGCCCTGCGTGCCTAGCTGCGCTGTACTCGGCGATTCCTTCGCCGGAAAAACCTGGCATTGCAGAGCCCTCACCGCAAGCAGCGAGAACCATTATTCGGTCATGGGCTTGCGCGCGAACCGATACCAGGCCAGTGGGTGCACAAGGCTGCCCGACGGAGCAAGCCACCTCCTGGTTTGTCCGCGGGCCTTCTACTCGCAAACGGCCGACGGCTACGGCAAAGTTCTCAGCGTCACAGGGTTCTTCACCGGCACACCAGCAAAGAAGATATCCACCATCGCTGGCATCAATGGACAGGCTATAGTCGATCTGGTCGGACACACCGAAGCTCAGCGAAAAGTTCTCACCAGCCATGTCGTGCTCAACAATGCCGTTGGAGTTCCTGTTCGCTGCGGAGAGCACAAGATTCGATGAGTTTGTGCCACAGGAAGCAATCCGAAGTGAGACGTGCCCAACGAGGGAGCCAATGCCCTGGAAGGGCGCCAGCCCGGTGCAGTCCTGCCCGCGAACGCACGTGAACTCGTGGTCTGCGAAGGGCCCCACGACCCGCAACTGCCCAGCTGAAATGTGGAAGTCTTGAAGACTGTCACAGTTGAGACCCGACATGCTGGCGCACCAGCAAAGGCCATAGAATCCTCCCGCCGGTGCAAAATCCCGAGCCCGGCCTGCATGCCAGACATACATGTGGCCACCATCGACAGCAGGCTGAGACACACCTTCGTTCGCCACGTAGGGCACGGGCTGCATGGATCCGCCGCATTCTGACCCAGAAGACCCAGATGACCCGGGCACTATGGCCAGGCGATGCCCATCCCGCAGGTGGTAACCAGTGACATGTACCGAGCAATTGCGCCCAGCGGTGCAGTTCAGCATCTGCTTCGGATGCGGGCGAATGCACAGACCCTCCTGGTCGGCTGCATCACTCTCGGTGGTAGAGCCTTCCATACAATCAGCGCAAGTCGCCGGAGAGGTCGCCCCCATTGTCCCGCTCCACTTCCCTGCGGAACAGGCCTGGCACGCAGCATTGCCTGCCTCTGGCTTGAACGTGCCTGGAGCACAGGCTTTGCAGGTGCCCAGCAAAGCCAAGTGGCCGGCTGCGCAGACACAGTCTGCCTCGCCCGTGGCAACGGTCAGCAGCGTGGTCTGATTCGGCGGGCAAGCTTCTCTGTGGTCTCCGCCACGACAGAAAGAGCCGATGCCGCAGCTCTCGCAGCTTGCGGGATCTCCTGGCGCGGTGCTAGCGTACCCTGGCGAGCAAGTGCACGCTGCAGATGACACGGCACCCGGCCGCAGCGTCGTCAGGCCGAAGCTGCAACTGGCGCAGCTGGAATTGCCCACGGAGGCCTTGTACTTTCCAGTTGGACACTCGACACAGTGCTTATTCGCTCCATCAACAGGGCTAAGCATCCTACCTGGAAGGCACACGCACTCGAATACATGGGTCTGAGCAGTTGGAAGACCCCAGCCGTCGGGACATCTCACAACTTCTGGGTGGACGGAAGTGCCGGTAATGGTCGAGATGACACCTGTCAAGGACTCAGCCCACGCTGAGAATGGAGCGGGATCGAGCCTGGCCTTCATCTCGTAAGCACTTCCTGGTTCGGAGCTCCACAATGTGTATGCAATAGAGCTGTTCTGTGACTCGCCTGGGTCCTCCAGATAGTCTGAGCCCTCTGGGTAGTCGGAATCCACCGCGTGCTGAATAGAGAGCTGCACACGAGGAAAATCCTGCAAACGCAGGTAGGCTTCCAGTTCTCTACGAAGGCCCTCTGGCTGGAGGTCTGCTTGGATCGTTCCTCGAACTATGTAGACCGTGGCCTCGGAGGAGGTGAAGGAATCGGCAAATACATCCGACAAATCTGCCAAGTCTTTGCAGTTGAAGTCTGGGGACGGATTGATGTCAATGCCATCTGTGCAGAAGCATTCTGACGAGTCAATTGCTCCAGGCTCAGAGGTGGTCTCTGCCGGGCACTGCCCTTCGCACTGATCATTGCCAGCCTGCTCTTTGAAGCGCCCGCGCTCACACGGTAGGCACACCTTAAGCTGCGTATCCCAAGCGAAGCCCGGACGGCACTCGCAAGCCCGTTCGAAGCTGGATCCGCGCAGCGAAGTGCTGCCGTGGGCACACTCCAGCAGCTCGGCAGCCTGACCACCAGGGCAGTAGTAGCCTGGCAAACACTCGTGGCACTGCCTGAACCTCCCTTGAAGCTCGTAAGTGCCAGGAGGGCACACCACATCCAGTTTCACTGCTGCGGCACGGAAATCTTCAGGACTGCTGCAACTCAACCTCGAGGGGCACCAGCAGAGCTCCAGCATCTCTGGAGCAGACTCAGCCAACTCCAAGACCCCGAAATCAAAGTAAATCTCATCAGACGATCTGTAGACACCAAGAATTGGCTCTGGATCTTTGAAAAGAGCAGCCTGCCGTGCTGTGCCGCATTCGTTCATGGGTAGCAACTTGTCGCCTTCTGCAAGCTTAGCCCCCTGCAGTCCGGACACTATGCAATGAGACCCCAAGTCACACTGGTAGGACTGCCTCAGAATGGGCCCGCTTACACGGAGCAAGCCAACATTCACTCGGAAGTCCCTCGCAACGGCACAGGAAGAACTGTCGCTTGGAGCGGGCCGGCACCAGCACATGAAATACACACCAGGGAACTCTGCGAAGACGGGCGCTTGGCCGTCACGACTTTGAAAAGTAAAGCTCGCGCCGTCCTGCGTTTCGGCATATGGCGCAGGGAAGCCAAGCAAGAATGGGCCTTGCTCACACCTTAGTGTCGGACGCATTAGTTAGAAAGCCCCGGAAAGGGCCTGCAACTCCACATGGTGCATCTTGGTTCATGTCTTAAGGGCAGGGGGCCGCATGTGTATGGGTAGCATAAATAGGAGTTAGGATTAGGGGGACCCTTGAGGATATAGACCCTCTCAATAAGGTCCCCTTTAAGAGAGCCAGAAGTATATAGGGTTAAGAAGGGTCCGCTGTAAGAGGTCTCCCTAACACTAGCTAGGGTCATGGACTGGCTCTTTTTTCCCCACCCCATCCCCGACCCGCCTCCGCCCCCCCCCCAACCCGCCCCCCCCCCCCCCCCCCGCCCCCCCCCCGCCCCCCCCCCCCCCCCCGCCCCCCCCCCCGCCCCCCCCCCCGCCCCCCCCCCGCCCCCCCCCCCCCCCCCCCCCGCCCCCCCCCCCGCCCCCCCCCACCCCCCCAACCCCATGCTTGTCAACAGGTTGCGTTCTCTTGTTTCTGCACAGGAGATCTGCTGCATGCTCCTCCACTTCAGGACATGGGGCTCTGGATGAAAACTCATTGGCTTGTATGTTAGTCGTGGAACAATTTCAGAGTCATTCAAACACGTCCTGCCGATCTTTGAGGCCAGAAAGAAGCATTCAAATCCCATACCCCCTAAAAAAGCGGCACTTTGCCCAGTGACTGAAATCCTCTTGGAAAGCAGGCGCAGAAGGCCAGTGCCCATTACTGACGTACAGCAGGTTTTCCATGTAAGGGCCACACTCTGATAAGGAGGTGAGGCGGTCGCCGGCCGCAAGTTCCACGCCTCACTTCAAGCACAAACCAGTCAAGGGAGTGTTACCCACGATCCCCCGCTGTAAATGGCCAAGATGCCCTGCAGCTGAAGTTGGCAAACTTGGCCCTGGAAGCATTCGGCCGCTTGTCCAGCTTGTGGCCCAAGCACTCGTACATGCCCGGCGGCGACAACATGGTCAGCCTCTTGACAGCCACTGCCATCTTCAGTATCAAGACCTCGCCCAAACCCGACGACGGAATAGGCCAGAAAAATTAGTCAGTTGACTTGTTATGGCTTTCTTCAGAGTTGGTTTCTCTTCTTACCGTTTAGGGCAGTTTAGGGCTTCCGCCGATGTTGGAAGTGGGATCCCGATCATGGCGCTACGACGCTGTCATGGCCTGCACACCAGCACAACGAGTAGCCACGGTCTTCTGCATCGATGGAGAGGCGGTAGTCCAACTCGTCAGAGGTGCCAAAGTCCAGTCCCAATTCGCCAATTCTGTTCACAAGGCCACCGAGCCCGCGCACATTGACCTTGGAAATCTGCAAACTCGCGCCTTCGCAACTGCTGCGCATTGCCACTGATCCCATCATGGACATGCCGATGCCCTGGAAGGGCGCCAGCCCGGTGCAGTCCTGCCCGCGAACGCACGTGAACTCGTGGTCTGCGAAGGGCCCCACGACCCGCAACTGCCCAGCTGAAATGTGGAAGTCTTGAAGACTGTCACAGTTGAGACCCGACATGCTGGCGCACCAGCAAAGGCCATAGAATCCTCCCGCCGGTGCAAAATCCCGAGCCCGGCCTGCATGCCAGACATACATGTGGCCACCATCGACAGCAGGCTGAGACACACCTCCGTTCGCCACGTAGGGCACGGGCTGCATGGATCCGCCGCATTCTGACCCAGAAGACCCAGATGACCCGGGCACTATGGCCAGGCGATGCCCATCCCGCAGGTGGTAACCAGTGACATGTACCGAGCAATTGCGCCCAGCGGTGCAGTTCAGCATCTGCTTCGGATGCGGGCGAATGCACAGACCCTCCTGGTCGGCTGCATCACTCTCGGTGGTAGAGCCTTCCATACAATCAGCGCAAGTCGCCGGAGAGGTCGCCCCCATTGTCCCGCTCCACTTCCCTGCGGAACAGGCCTGGCACGCAGCATTGCCTGCCTCTGGCTTGAACGTGCCTGGAGCACAGGCTTTGCAGGTGCCCAGCAAAGCCAAGTGGCCGGCTGCGCAGACACAGTCCGCCTCGCCCGTGGCAACGGTCAGCAGCGTGGTCTGATTCGGCGGGCAAGCTTCTCTGTGGTCTCCGCCACGACAGAAAGAGCCGATGCCGCAGCTCTCGCAGCTTGCGGGATCTCCTGGCGCGGTGCTAGCGTACCCTGGCGAGCAAGTGCACGCTGCAGATGACACGGCACCCGGCCGCAGCGTCGTCAGGCCGAAGCTGCAACTGGCGCAACTGGAGTTGCCCACGGAGGCCTTGTACTTGCCCAGAGGGCACTCCTGGCAGCTGCTGGCTGAGGTCTCCATGCCATGGGGACACTTGCAATCTGCGAGGCCTGCAATGGGGCCGTTTGGGAAGGCCAGGCCATCCGGGCACACCAGCAGCTCCTCTTGCACTACTCCCTGATGATGCACGTTTGCCAGCGCCCATGCCGCATCTTGCTGCTCCGAATAGATCCAAGCAGAGAAGGGCATCTGGTCAAACTTTGCATGCAGCTCGATGGCTAGCTCTGCCTCGGAGCTTGTCACCGAAAAGTCGATCCTGTTGCTGACAAAGTTGAGGGTCAAGGATGTTCGCAAACTAGGTAGCAGCTTGAGTCCAAGGTAGGACGTGAGAGCGCTACGAAGCTCCTCCAGAGCAGTGCTGGCCACTCCACCAAGTGAGCCAGAAAAAACATGAACTTCGACTTCAGTGTGAGCATACCGTATGCAATCTTCTGCACTTAACGCTGGGAGACTTGTTTGGTCTGTGCATGTGAAGATGCCTTGGGACTTGTTCACATTGAAGCGACTGTTTGCACAATAGCACTCATGAACACCAATGGCACCGACACTTGCTGTCGTCGTGTTCTCAGGACAACTCTGACAAGACATTCCACCAACCGAGTCCTTGTACGATCCTATGAGACATGGCAGGCAAGTGTTCGTAAAGGTATCCAAGGCATGGCCCGCACGGCACTGACAGTCGCCCTGGGAGCTGGATCGGCGTGGGGAAGTGCTCCCCTGGATGCAGGGACGAAGCTCGGCAGCCTGACCGCCGGGACAGTAGTAGCCTGGAGGACACTGGCAACAGTGCGAAACCCTCCCCAGAAGCTTGTAGGTGCCCGGAGGGCACATCACATCCAGCTTCATTGCCGTGGCACGGAAGTCCTCTAACTCGCTGCAGTTGGATTTTTGCGGGCACCAACAAAGCTGGAGCGTCTCAGGAACAGCATCTGCTGGCAGGTTCCCAATGTCGAAGACGATCTCGAGGGAATCGTTGTATTCAGCAGGAATAGGCTGCGCATCCGGAAAGAGAGAAGCGATGGTCGAGGTGCCGCATAGCTGCAATGGCAGAATTATGTCATCAGGCGCGAGCTTCGCCCCTCGCAAGTTGGATACAATGCACTGCATTCCCACATAGCATTGGAAGGTCTGTTCCGAAAATGGACCCTGTACCACCAAGAACCCAGCTGGGATGCCAATGTCATTTGCTTTCGCACATGATTCTGAAACGTTGCTGCACCAGCACAGGTGATATGTGCCTTAGTCCATCTCACAACCGTGCTGGTGAGGATATGCGCCCGCACGCTGAACTTGCTTCTTCCGAGCCGACCAACTACGCCAGCAGAAGAAAGTGATAAACGCAAACAGAATGAATGGAAACAGAGTCGCAACTCCATGTCGTGCTGTAGCGTGTACACAGCGGCAGAACTGCATATCTGCTGACCCCGCACGTGGCGGTGCCAGTGAGATTCTTTGGCTTCGCGTCACCGTCGTCATCACGTTATCTCAGCCCTTCTCTCTCTTCATCTCGCATCACCCCTCTTATTCACTTCGCCCTCCTTCTCCCGATCTTCCTGCTTTCTTCGACTCCCCAACCCTTTTTTCAAGAGCTTTCCTTCCACAGTCGACTGCCTCCCTGAGGATGTGCATCGAAAATAAGGATATGAATATTCAAGCGCGTTTCCACAAGATGGTGCACAGCTTTGAAGCACAGAAACGTGTTGTGTTCACAAGATGGCGCTGATTTAAGCGACAAGCTCTCCGAATTAGGCGCACGCGAATATGTCCTCGAAACCACAACGAAAATAAACATGATTTCGCCGTTTGTTGAGTTTATTTGGCCATTTAGACCATGCATCCGCAAGGTGGCGCAGTTTGTTCAACATCTACGCTACCCGTGCCTGCACGACTAGCAGGAGGCAAGAACATGCGAAGACGGACCTCCACACAAACATCGGCCATGCGGACTAGAAAGCTTGTTTTTAGCTTTATGGTCTGCGCTCAGCCGTACTGACCCCAACTGCTCATGTCTGGGTCCCCGACCTGGCTCGATGTTGATATATGAAGCATTGCTAACATCTCCGTGAGCCATTTGCGACATGTCGCTGACAAAGTCCAGTTGAGAGCTCTCAGACACCAAAAATATTTGATCAAGAAACTTGTCCGTCGAACAGTCGTCCGAGTCCGAGACCATGAAGGCTGTTCCCGCTGGGAGGGCGCCCTGGTATTCAACAGAACAAGCCTGGCCGAGAACACATTCGACGACAAGTGCCTGCGGCACTTCTGTGCCAAGATACCGCCAAAAGTCGCCTTTGTAGGACGCATCGAAACCAGCGTGAACGAGCAAACTTCTGGAGCTTGAATCCCAAACAGCCGTGTGGCCCGAACGGGCCGCCGGTTGGTAGTTTGTCGAGCTGAGGCCCAATGGTGTCCAGGAGTCTGCGAGCAAACTGTAATTCCACAGATCACCGGCATAACTGAACTCGCCCTGCACACAGCACGGCTCACAATGAAACCGCGCCACAGACAGCCCAAACCTGTAGCTTATTCACACATGTACACACATCTATCATGGTAGTTTCTCACATAAGGCTGCAAGGAAAGCTAGACCTGCTGGCAACAACAACCAACAACGCCCCAACAATCACAGCAAACAGTCGACCTGATATGTTAGACTTCTCATTTGGTGTGGCAAAAGCCATCGTTCTGCTCGGATGGGATATCAAGGCTTTTGGACACCTGGCCCCAGCGGGGCACGCGAGGGAAGGGGGCCACCTGCTGTTCACGCACGAGAGTCTCGGGTGGGTGCCCACGGATGCCCGCGCTCAGGGGCATGCAAGCGCATGGTGTGGATACGCGTGGGTGCGCTGACACAAGCTCGGCGATAGGACATGACTGGAGAAAGGCCTGAATGCATAATTAGGCGTGAGTTTGCACGAGGAAATCGACTACCATGTACATGTAGAGCATGGGCAGCAAAATCCAGTGGCACATTCCTAGCTGCCCACACACATGAGTTAGCAAAAACCGATTAGCCCCATGCAAAGCCCAACAGTAGAAAGCATCCCGTCGGACTCTGTCCAAGCATTTGTCACTGAGCCTGTTGCTGCTGTACACCACCATGCACCAGCATGGACATGGACGTGTCGTCCCAGGCGGCCACATGGCCGTACCGAAGGGAAGGCCGCGGGCTCAGTGGGTTAAGCTGGCTCCAGATCTGGCGCCAGCTGTCAAAGTGCCAGAGGTCCGCCAGAGGTCCCGAGCCAGCCCAGCCTGCGAACACCAGCGCACACAAGACTCTTGAAGGCCCTTACGAATCTCAGAGGTTCAGGTCATACTGTATGTGTTTTACATCTAAAGGAAAAAAAAATGCCCAGCCTCCGAAAACCAGCATCGCCTCCGTGGCTTGGTCCCACACAGCAGAGTGGCGGCTTCGTGGCGCAGGGCCGCCCGAGCTGTGCAGCTGCTTCCACGTCTGGGCCTCCGCACGGTACATCCAAAGGTCATTCAGCAAGAACGACCCTTGGCCGGCGAAAACCAGCATTGCCCGCTGAAAGGGCTGCCAAGTGGCAGAATGCCCAGCACGGCCTTGTGGGCTCGCGGCATTTGACCGTGTCCAGGTACTGTTCCGAAGGCTTAGGATCCAGAGATCGCCATAAACATCCGTGCCATACTGACCACCGAAAATCAGCAACTCTTCGTCGGCTTCGTCCCAGACACTGGAATGCCCTGCCCGGGAGGATGGGCCGGAGGCAGGCAGCGCTAGCTGCGTCCATGACTGCGAAAGCAAACCGTATAGCCACACGTCCTCAAAGAAGTTGAAGTGAGCACTGGCCTCCCCGGCATAGACAAGCATGGATTGGCGGCTGGTCAGCCACGCAGCGGCGTGCCTTGCAAGACTGAAACCCCACTCAGTTTGGAAGGCTTTGTGGTGTTACGTAGACTGGACTTAGAGCTGCACACTACAGCTTCGCACTCACCACCACACCCCGCATATCCCCGCATCTTGCAGCCCAGAACTAAACTGACACTCCTGAGCCCAAGTCAGTCCTCGTGCGACTGGCTGGGCTGACCGATGTAGAGAAATCGCTCCATGCGTCAAATTCACATTCCACGCCGGCCGCTTCCGATTTGTCGCACTCATGCACGTCCCAACCTCGGAAAGGGCAGTGGCCAAGGTTGGTTTCGTGGCCAAAGCAGGCCACACGGTGCATCCACATACGTCCACTTTCCCCAAACCGGGAGATGCTCTTGCCACCTGCGAGCCCCAGCTGTCTGCAGAGGACCCTGGCATCGACGTCATCCCAGCCATCGTCACAAACGGCACCCCACACGCCTTCGTACAGCACCTGCACCTGCCCACGTAACGCTGAACTCCTGCCATCGCCATGGAGGCGCACCTGCACTGAGGCCTCGGTGATGGGAGACTGCAGGTCGATGGGGGGCAAGGAGTCCCCCATCTCGTTGGGATCGTCGCCTATGGTCAGTGTGTTCCCCTGGCCCAGCCGGCCACGAGTCCCAAAGCCCCAACACTTGATGCTGTCATCATCAAGGACTGCACAAACATGTTCCTCACTGCTTGCAATGCGGCGCGCAGTGCGGCCAGTACCCAAGTCAATAGGAGGTAAGGAATCCCCAAGGTCTGAAACATCTGCTGTATTCCCTTGCCCAAGCGTGCCCACAGCCCCCTCTCCATAACACTTCACGGAGAAGTCATCCAGAAGGACACAGCCGGTGGTGGTTTGTCGCACTGTGCGAGAACCAACGCCAAGCTGGGTTGCTGCACTGTCAGCCTCTGCAGCCCAGCACATTGCCCTGCCATCGTCCGTTAGTGCACAACTCGGAAAAGAGTGTGTGCCACAATGAATTTCTCGGACTGTGCCGATTCCTAAGTCCACCGTCGGCACGGTATCTCCAGAAGGCATGTCTTGAAAACATGCCTCGCCGGACCAAGTTTCCTTACAGAGTGGAGGCCAGGACTTGACGGTCCCATCGTCCAAAAGTACGCAGAGGTGGGAGTGGTGACCAAGGGAAATTTGCCGCGCTGTGCGGCCCGTTCCCAGATCCAGGGGGACGTCGATGATGCCGTTCCTCCCGCACTTGACAATGTAGTCATCCAGCAAAATGCAAGTTACCCCCATATTTCCGGCTGCCACCTCTAATGCCTTGCGGTTGTGTCCCAAGTCAACGAGAGGCAGCCGGTTCTGCGCTGTGCCGTGATCATATCCGAAGGTCTTGACCGTTCCGTCATCAAGCAAGACTGCCGTGTGCGTGTTGCCGGCCGATACTTGGCGTACAGTGCGGCCTGAACCAAAGTCAATCGAGGGCAGGTTGCGCATCTCGAGAGGCGAATCTCCGATATCCTCATCGCTGCTAAATTCACTAAAAAATCCTTGTCCAAGCAAGCCGCCCTCCCCCCAGCAACGGACCTCACCTGTGCTTTTGTGTAGGATGCAGGAACGCGCCCCAGCGAGAGAGAGCTCTGCGAAATGGTTCGAATCCACAAATTCTACCACGAGGAGGTGGTCCACTGCTGCACTGGTGGTAGCGGCATCGCCTACTGCCATGAACTGCAGTCCTACAACATAAGCTGGAATCACAACTTTGGCTTCATGCCAGATGTCAGCCTGGGTCTCATCCTGCGCGCCTTTGACCTCCCACAACTTCGTCCAGCAGTTGAAGGTACAGCCGCTGCTGCGGCCTCGCAGCTGGAGCTGGCCACCTTGACCCGAACGGTAAGAGAACAGCAACACTTTGGAATGGGGCTCTGCCGGGAAGAGCGGGCTGAGCAAGATGCCCTCACCATTGCTGGTCATATACCATTCCCCAGTCTTGGCATTGCCCTGGGATCTTTGCCATCCTTGCCAGCTGCACTCATCCTGCTCAAAGTCGCATGTGACATTCACGATGCTGGGCACCGGCCTGAAAAAGGGATGACTGGTAGGGGGTGTGGGGATGCATCCATTAGTGGATCAATGAGACAACTAACGCCTGCAAATAAAGTCGTCGAGCGACAGCAGACGGCAACAGTCAACTGTGGGCATATAACACTAAGAACTGTTGCGCAGAACCTGCACGGGCAATAGACCGGTAGAACACTTATCGGGTACATCGCTCCAAGGTGTGTTCCTGTGGGCCGACTACCAGGAATTCACAGGACTTGTAAGAATGAGTAAGAACCTCAGGGGGGGTACCGTGTTCAATGTTGCCGCTCCTGATTTCTGCTTTCGGCGCAGGCAGCGTTGCACATGGCTCCAGCAGTCAGAAGTGTGCTCCGTGGGTGTGTCTTTCCCTCTGGTGCGCTTTGTCTCCCCTACCTCTCAGCATGTGCTCTCTCAAATCCTACCGGAAATCAACATTCTGCACACACAACGCAAGGTCTGAGAACATCATCGCGAATCTTCAACTTTCTCTCTCGGCAAGTTCAACCACATCCCAGAACTGACCGACCAGCCTCTGCACGCATAATCGGATTTTGGTAGGTTGAGAGTTTGCAACCAACCTCACCTGAATAGGCTCAGGGAACCACAAAGATCTGCAAGCATGATGGCAAACAACCCACATATTAAAAAAGCAGGTGCCTCGTTCCCAACGGGAGGATATGCTTGTGGACCTGGAAGACCACTGTGCTCTTCTCCTTCACCATCAGACCGGTACATCAAAACCGAACCGAAGGCCGGTACAGCCGCCTCGAAATGCGTGGTGTGCATCGGCGCAGAACTCGTGAACTCGCATTCCAGATCAGCCGGGCCCAGCTCAGGGAAGCTAGGATTCTGCAAACAAAACCCATCAACTTCACAAGGCCCAGATCTGAGATAAATTCGTGGCAGTGTGGCATCTGACTCATCCTCTGACCACTTGATCGCATCCAGGGCCATGTCGCTTTTCCCACCTCCGGTCATGCCCAGGAAGCGCAAAACTCTAGCATTCTTGTCCAGCGCAGCCGCTGCAAAGTGCCAGGTCTCTCCCTGGTTGCCGGATTTTGACCACACAGTTGTCCAGGTTCCACCAACCCAGGCTTGCAGCCACAGACTGCCCATGCCAGTTCCATACATATGGTACAGGAAGGAGATATACCCTGTGTTGTCATCCTTTGGGAAGACTGGGCTTTGAAGCACGAACTCCTCAGCGGACGCACACTGTTTTGACAACCGTGCCTGACAGATGGCCAACGCAAACCCTAGTCCACTCGTCTTTTTTTGCATTACGCAACCTCGCCCGTGTCAGAGCAACCCAATCGCGCGCGAACCCACCCCAGCCCAACAATCCATACAAAAGGTCTGGCCTCGTATTGATTGCCGCTGGCCTCCACGTACATGTAATAGCTGCCCTGAAAAGCAGCCGATGGCCCAGTGCCGGATGACGGCGTTGAGCCAGCTCTCCGCATCCAAGCCTCCCAATGCCAGCATGTCAGTGCCTACGGCCTGATAAAATTAAGCCAACAAAAAGGGTAAAAGCAACTACAGCATGCATCAGCATACACGCGATGTCTATCACTCGAGCTGTTGCGACTTTAATCGCTGTGGCAAAGATCCCGGTTGTAAAGATCGCTCGGATCGAAAGCGCGGCAACAGCGACCGGACCTTACCCCTCCCAGCGCGAGTTCACGCAGAGCTCTGGCAGCTTTTGTTGTTGCTATTGACTGGACAGGAAAACCGGTCAGGAATGATAAATTTCAACTCATGACTTGCTTGCGCGCCTTCTAGTCGATGCTGACAAGCAAGCCCAAACCGAACATGATCAACCGAACGGTGCATAGCGAAACCGCCTCGCAAATCTGGGAAATGCAAGATTCACTGCTGGAACTTACGCCACTGCATCCGGTTAGTTGAAAGAGTGCCAATGCCGCTGTGTTCAGGCAGCATGCAATGGGGGCAGTGCCCTGCGCTACCTCTACGATTCTACAATCTTTTCTCGGCCAATCGCGCCGAGGGCCCCTGAGTCGGAGACACTGCGAGACTTTTCAACATCTTAAGCATTCCCTGGTCCCGCTGTTGACCCTGCAACAACTTTATGCAACTAATAATCTTGGGCCGCGCTGCTTTAAGCTGTGCAGTTTCGCAATCAGAGTGTCACTGTGCCTTGCAACGTCCCCGTCGCAGCGCGCATGATGGCAAGTGCGGGACACAACAGAATGTCCTCAGTGCTGTGCCTTACGCGCGTGGCTTTCCTACTTGTGCTGTTTTGTCTAACTTACGTTGTCATTTTTGGTTGCTTGCCCGTGGGTTTGTGCCTGGTTGGCGCGACTCGCTGTTTTGTTCTTGGCTCGCTCTCCCCGACCCATGCTTAGCTCCAAACTCCTGCAGCAACTCCTAAACCCTAAACCTTAAACCCAGCGGCAGCAGCCCTCGGCTTAGCCTCGCCGGCCCACCACCCGCACAGGTCCCGCTCGAAGTCGCAAGTGAGGCTCTCTCCCTTGCTGGCAACCGAGTCTGCCTGGAAGGAATCCAGGCGCAGCCGGTGATGCATAAAATTCCAAACAGCTCAAGGCCCAAGACCCCCAAATCGTAGTAAGACCTCTCCTGGAATCTCCAAGATACTCCTGAAACCAACACTCCCGAACAGTGGGAGAACAGCATGCAAGCTCCTAAGCTCAAGAAACAAAAAAACAAAACAAGGGTTATCAGCTTCCAACCTTCAGCTTTTGTGCTGCTCTATAGAGCATGGTAGGCACAGCTCGCGAGGACTAGAATAAATCTTGGGCAGAGATTCAGGTGTGAGTTCTTGGTTTATCCGTAGGAACCATCGAACCACAAATGAAGCAATCATCCAACTCCTCCGCTCAGGGGCTTGCAGGTTTCGCATATCGCTGCCATCCACGACCTTCTAAGAATCGGCTTCCAGACAAATCTTTCAAGAGGGGCTGGCACTAGCCTCGCAAAGTAATGTTGCACCCTCTTTAGTGTGGGGGGCCCCCCCCCCCCCCCCCTGAACAGTCGAGGCGTGGATGGGAGCCTGATTACACGGCCCCGGGCTCATATGATTTTAATAGGGAGGAGTTTAGATAGGTTCAAAAGGGGCAGCGATGCCCAGTTATCTTTTTTAAAGGCGCGCCACGTGGAATTTTCTTACGGCGCCCGGACGATTTGGCTTTAAAGAGGGACTCCCAAACAGTCAGGGTGTCCTGAATAATTCGGCCAGATTGTCTCTAAAGAGGGGGCCGATACTAAAGCGGGTGCAACATTAATCTGTGTGCACTCCACCTGGTCCGTCACGTGGACGAAACGGTTGGAAAGACTGCTGTGCAGGGCGATCGTATCGGTGCTGCCGAGCATCACCTGAGGACCAGCAATGCTCGTCTGATTCGGCAGGATTAAGAACGCTGTCACAAGGTCATGTCTCAGCGTGTCTTCGGCAGCCTTGAAAGCCGAATGCCTCTACATGGTACATCTTGAAGGGGCTACGCAATCGCAATTCGACTCACAAAAAAATCAACCTATTCGATCAGGATCGTGCCACACCTGTGCATTCCACATCCCAATGTGTTTGATTGAAATCCGCCGAGGCCGGAGGCCTGGGCGTTTAGATCTTAGTCTAGGCAATTTTGTTTTTTTTTGCGCTGAATGGGTACCCCCCCCCTAGCGGACCAGTGTCCAGCTGCGGACGACGTGCCGGGACCAGTAGGGACTGGGGCCAGCCATAGGGGGTGGAGGTGAAAAATCGTTTTTGCCCCCCCCCCCCCCCCCCCCCCCCCCCCCCCCCCCCCATCACCCCACCACCCCCTCCATCATCATGATTTTTCCTGTCTCGTTTGAGCACAACCGCATGACGATAAGCCCAAGATGGACATCCCGGCAAATTTTGACCCACAAATGTTGTTCCTACCCTCTGTCGTTTTGTGTGGTATTTGCAGGACTTTTGCAGGGCGCCAAGGGGATCCCGGCAAATTTTGACCCACAATGTTGTTCCTACCCTCTGCCGTTTTGTGTGGTTTTTGCAGGTCTTTTGCAGGGCGCCAAGGGGATCCCGGCAAATTTTGACCCGCAAAGTTGTTCCTACCCTTTCCCGTTTTGTGTCGTATTTGCAGGACTTTTGCAGGGCACCAAGGGGATCCCGGCAAATTGTGACCCACAAATGTTGTTCCTACCCTCTGCCGTTTTGTGTGGTATTTGCAGGGCGCCAAGGGGATCCCGGCAAATTTTGACCCACAAATGTTGTTCCTACCCTCTGCCGTTTTGTGTGGTATTTGCATGACTTTTGCAGGGCGCCAAGGGGATCCCGGCAAACTTTAACCCGCAAAGTTGTTCCTACCCTTTCCCGTTTTGTGTGGTACTTGCAGGACTGTCCCAGGGTGCCAAGGGGATCCCGGCATGACCCACAACTGTTGTTCCTACCCTCTGCCGTTTTGTGTGGTATTTGCAGGACTTTTGCAGGGCGCCAAGGGGATCCCGGCAAATTTTGACCCACAAATGTTGTTCCTACCCTCTGCCGTTTGGTGTGGTATTTGCGGGACTTTTGCAGGGTGCAAAGGGGATCCCGGCAAATTTTGACCCGCAAAGTTGTTCCTACCCTTTCCCGTTTTGTGTGGTATTTGCAGGACTTTTGCAGGGCGCAAAGGGGATCCCGGCAAATTTTGACCCACAAATGTTGTTCCTACCCTCTGCCGTTTTGTGCGGTATTTGCAGGCCTTTTGCTTCCGGGGGAGGCCCGGCTCGTAATTTAGTATTGGGGGGGTGGGGGGGGCGGGCTCGTGATTTAGTATTGGGGGGAGGCCCGGACTCGTAATTTAGTATTGGGGGGAGGCCCGGGCTCGTGATTTAGTGTTGGAAGGAGGCCCGGGCAGCTGCCCCCAGGGCCCCTTCGCCATGTAAATTATTTAAATTATTTAAAGTATTTAAATTACTTATTTCCCGGGCCCGAATTAAATAATTTAAATATGAAGCTCCCGTATTAAATATTCATATTTAAATCGTGGCCTTCATATTTAAATTATTTAGATCCGGCCCGGGAATTGAATAATTCAAATAATTTGAATAATTTTAATCATTTAAATCCTGCAGGGCGGGTGGGGCCCTCCCGCAGGAGGAATTAAATAATTTAAATATGAAGGCCCCGATTTAAATATGAATATTCAATTCGGGGCCTTCATATTTAAATTATTTAATTCCTCCTGCGGGAGGCGGCCCGGGCCCCCCCCTGGATTTAAATGATTTGAATTATTTAAATTATTTAACTTATTTAATTAAATATGAAGCTCCCGAATTAAATATTCATATTGAAAACGTGGTCTTCATATTTAAACTATTTAAATCGGGCCCGGGAATTAAAAAATTTAAATATTTTAAATGATTCAAATAATTTAAATAGTTTAAATAATTTAAATAATTTAAATCCTGCAGGGGGGGTGGGGCCCTCCCGCAGGAGGAATTAAACAATTTAAATATGAAGGCCCCGATTTAAATATGAATATTTAATTCGGGTCCTTCATATTTAAATTATTTAATTCCTCCTGCAGGAGGAGGCCCGGCCCCCCTCCCCCCTCCAGGATTTAAATTATTTAATTCCCGGGCCCGAATTAAATAAATTAAATATGAAGCTCCCGAACTAAATATTCATATGTAAATCGTGGCCTTCATATTTAAATTATTTAAACCCGGCCCGTGAATTCAATAATTTAAATACTTTAAATAATTTAAATAATTTAAATAATTTAAATAATTTAAATAACTTAAATCCTGCAGGGGGGGTGGGGCCCTCCCGCAGGAGGAATTAATAATTTAAATATGAAGGCCCCCATTTAAATATGAATATTTAGTTCGGGGCCTTCATATTTAAATTATCTGATTCCTCCTGCGGGAGGAGGCCCGGCCCCCCCCCCCCTGGATTTAAATTATTTAAATTATTTGAATTATTTAAATTATTCAAATGATTTAAATGATTTAAATGATTTAACTTATTTAAACTTTTTCACTTATTTAAATTATATAAATATTTAAATTATTTAATTCCCGGGCCCGAATTAAATAATTTACATATGAAGCTCCCGAATTAAATATTCATATTTAAATCGTGGCCTTCATATTCAAATTATTTAAATCCGGCCCGGGAATTAAATAATTTAGATAGTTTAAATAATTTAAATCCTGCAGGGGGGGGTGGGGCCCTCCCGCAGGAGGAATTAAATAATTTAAATATGAAAGCCCCGATTTAAATATTAATATTTAATTCGGGGCCTTCATATTTAAATTATTTAATTCCTCCTGCGGGAGGAGGCCCGGCCCCCCCCCCCCTCCAGGATTTAAATTATTTAAATTATTTAATTCCCGGGCCCGAATTAAATCATTTAAATATGAAGCTCCCGAATTAAATATTCATATTTAAATCGGGGCCTTCATATTTAATTCCGGCCTGGGACCCCCCCCCTAGGACCTAAAATAGGGTCTATTT